TTTTTTTTTTTTTTTCTTTTTTTTTGTTACGGTTCACAAAAAATACAAAGTGGTTTTCTCAAGTATTTGTTATGCTTAAATGGCTTAAAGAACCTCATTCTAGCATTTCTGTAAAAGTATTTATTATTCATAACATTTATTATTGCATATGTTCCTAATTAAAAATGGTCATGTTGCATTTTGTTACTATATGTGTTAATTATTTAAATATCATGATTATTCACTTCACTTGAATTTTATATACCCTTGATATATCTTGTGATATTGGACTGTACAATGTGCATCTCACAAGATTTCATTGGTGAGTACATTTTATATAAAAAATAGTAAATAAAACTAATGTAAAATATTAAATAAATATAAAAAATATAAAACAATAATAAAAAATTTGAAATAATAATTAATTCCTTATAATATAAAAATATCTAGACAAAAATTTTAGTATATGGGTAACGAAACATATTGTACATTCTAATAGTTAATAAGGTGCAATTTGTCCAACACTACGGTGTACAGTTTCAGTATGTATTATGCCAATTGAACCAATCAAACTTTTATCCCAAATCAAAATAAAAAATAACATAATTAATTGATTTATTCAGTTCGGTTAACCGAATTATCGTAAATGCTTGAAATAATTTGTTATTTATATTAAAATTTTATTTAGTATTCTTATATTATTTTTTCGGTTGAAATATTTTGAGTTCGGTCGGTGTCCATCCATATTGTGCGATCTGATAGTCGTGATAAAGTGCAACATGATGATTTATAAAGTGCAACATGTAGTGTCATAAAGTGCAACTTGATGATATATAAAGTGAACTACTGTAAGTTTGCTACGTTAGCATACTTGTGTTTTTTTGTGGATATATGATGTGATGAATGTTAAAGTATTGTGTAGATCTGTTTCCTAGATTTATGTCGTGGTATGTTGGCGGGAGCTATCAACGTTAATTTATTAACGTTAATTTTGGAGTGTGGTGATACAATGCAACGTGTTATTTTATACATTGCGACGCGTTGTTTTACAAAGTGCAACACTGCACTATATAAAGTGCACTAATCTATAATTTCTCATGTAAATTATGTGTATTCAATATTTTTAATACATATAATTGTAAATCGAATTTACCTAAATAATTAAAATATCTTGTTATTTATTTTTTTTAATCTTGTTATTTATTATTTTTACTATGTAATTTATTTATCGTTACGAATTATTTTGAAATTATTTATAGATACTATTTTAGTGTTGCTCTCAGGCCTTGCGGCCATCTCGGGTGTGTGCTCGCTGCATTGTCCTTGTTTTCTTGTATATTATTGTGCACCTGGTTGCATGCATTTTTAATAGTATGGTCCACACCAAAGTAAAAATGATTTAATTGGTCGATTTATTCGATCGATTAACTGAATTAATATAAATAATATATGTGATTTATTATTTATATTAAAAAAATCTTATTTTTCAACGTTTATATTTAATATTTAGTCTTGGAATTAATTGTGGAGTTTTGTGATAAAGTGCAACATGTTATTTTATACACTACATCATGTTGTTTTACAAAGTGCACTAATCTATAATTTACCATGTAAATTTTCAAGAACTATTTTTAATGTGTATAATTGTAAATCGAATTAACCTAAGTAATTAAAATATATTTTTATTTATTATTTTTATTATATAATTTATTTATTGTTATGAATTATTTTTAAATTATTTTAATATTTTATATTATTTTTATTTTTAATAATTTATTTGTTATTTAATATATGCGCATAACAAAATATATAAAATATAATATTTTATTAACTTTCAATAATTACATATTTAACTCATGGATTAAATTGAAATATAACAAAATTATTAAAATTACATATATGTCCCTATACATATATGCAATTATATAAAACCTGGTGTAGTGTGTGTGAGTGTGTGCACAGCTAGTGTGTGTGTGAGAGTGTGTGTGAGAGAGACGTTAAATGTGAGAGAGAGATGGGTAGTGGGTTAGATTTGTCACTTGTCACATGTGTGCGTGTGTGTGTGTGAGATTGAAATATAGGTGGAAGGTGGAGTCGGGCGCGTGGGATGGATGGAGTTGTTGTAAAAATGTCTAAAATAACCTTAATGAAGGTATAATTTTGGCTTTTATTTTAGAGATGATCTAATGGCTACAATTTATTCTCATTTCATTCATTGAGAATCATTCTCATGTGAACTCGACATATATATAAAGAAGTTAGTGGCATGCAAATGGCGACAAGTGGCGTGTTTTTTATGTTTACATTTGGCATTAAATAGAGAATTTACTTGAGTGCCCTTTTTTTTTGCCAACCACCAAAAAAGCTTAAACACATGAAGGGTGGTTTGGTCGATTGGCTGGCACCTCAGTTGGTATGTGTTTTTACTAAAAGGGCCTGCTGCATTGACCTTTTAGAGAGGTGCAGGCGTAATTTTCAATTCTTTGTTGCCTACCTCGCGGGATTTCCTCACACAAAATCTGGGCAGACGTCCCATCCTCTTTACTGATTAGGTTTCTTGAGCCTGAACATCTTGCTCTTGCTGCCACACGCCACATACCCACGTTCTTCTTCCTGGGGCCGTCCGAAAGGCCAGAAATTCTGGCGTGCCGCACGATTCCGCTGCCCTACCTTGTCGATTGATTTTGTGACATCTCTTAAAGCTTAAGAAATGACCCTATCTATAAGAATCGTTTTATTTCATTTTCTCGAACCTCACCACCTTGTGAGTAGAGCGCTCATCCGCCGCGCCGCAGGCGTATCTGACCCACACCTCCCATTGCCTATTTCAGGTACGTATCTACCTACTTTTCCAACTCGGCCGCGAAGATTGCATCACGACATGCACACGACAGAGCTATGGAGAAAATTAGGGCAACATATCTCATATTTTCACCTAATGTATTCAACTTCTCCGACTTCAGTTGATCATAACGGAAGCTTTCCAGCCCCACGAGACCATCTTCCTTTCCCTTTTTGCAATCGATTTTGGGGGAAATGGCAAGAGGTAATGTTTCTGGTTTTTAATTTGTGCTTTTGAATTCTCCATATGGGTTTACTTTCAGACCTTAATTTTCCATCCTTCAACAACTGACTAAGGTCCATTGAAAAGCAGGTTCTGCATTTTGAAGTGATTGCAAAAATTCCAAAAAGATGCAATATTATTGATAGTTTGCAGAACATAAACCGTTCATATAGTTTTGTTGCTCTCTTATCTAAAATCTTTTTTTTTTCATTTGCAGGTTCACAGCTCATTTTGCAGAACTAAATGAGATTTGGCTCATGAAGTTGTGGATGAGGCTGGACACTAGAAAAAGAAGCTTAGCCCTCGTGTCTGGAGCTTTTTGATATTCTGCCCACTGCTGCAATCCAAGAACAATTGAGCTCGAGAGAGGTCCTCATGGAAATGTCCAGGTATGAGTTTTTTCTATCCGAGCTTAAGCTTTTAGGGCTCCTAATTGCGGTCATGTTTTGCATGGTATGGATGTTACATTTTTTTGAGTACTGTAGTTTTATAAAAAAATTCTATATTCTTTTTTTTTTTTTTTT